GAACATAAAAAATTTAAAAAAACAAGATTGAGTAGGATTCCGAACGACCAACGAAAATACGAAATGAAAATCCTACTCTCGTGACGCAAATTCTACTTTACATTGTAAGGTGATCCATAAATTTTAAATAATAATATTAAAAATACAACGTAGAGTAGAATTTGCGTCACAAGAGTAGGATTTTCATTTCGTATTTTCGTTGGTCATTCGGAATCCTACTCAATCTTGTTTTTTTAAATTTTTTATGTTCTTGTTGCACTTAAACTAACACTAAAACTAAATTATTTAACGTCAGTGTACTGGAACTAAAACTGAAAATAAAATGTTAATAAACTGAGTACCAGAACTATAACTAGAACTAAAATGAATAGATACAAAGTACTAGAAATGAAAGTAAAAGTATAATAGATACGAAGTACTAGAACTATAGATCTATATATATCTATGAATGTGACATGTGTAATGAAAACCTAAGAATAGATACAATAAAATGCATGTACAAGTACAGAGTACTGTGCATGTGGCATAGATTTATGTAATAAGGTGGTGTTTTGAGTCTGTGTCCTCTTACTCAAGTATGTACACTGACCTTGCTGCTCTTGCTCTACTCTCAGTCACTCACTCCACTTAGTGTACACTTTGCCAGTCCAGAAGCATAAAATGTCAAAAGTTGGGAGACCCAAAAAAAGCTTTATTTGGAACTATAAGGACAAAGACCAAAGTGTCCGCTTAGTCACTGTATTAAGTGATGGTAACGGTGAGAACAATCATGAAGAGAGGAAATGTGGTAAAGAAATTACAGGAATGTTTACATCCAACCTGAAAAAGTACTTACAAAATAATCATCCTACTCAGTATAAGGAGTTACAGAGTGCTGAGTCAGAAAGACTAGGTTGGTAAAAGGAATAAAAGGGGTCATGATGGCACTGTCTCTACTGCACAATCAAGTATAGAGCAGCAAATTTAAGGTACTCAGTATTACAGTAAAGATTTCAAAAGACTAGAGACTATAACTAAAAAGCTAGCTGTGTTTGTAGGTTCTACAAATGTCTAGTTTACAGGGAAGAGTTTTGTGATTTGTTGAGTGAGATGAATAAGCAATATCGTGTTTCTCATCAAAAAAAATTAGTGAAGTGATTGAAAATGTGTTCAGTAAGTTGAAAGTGAATATTTCATCAGTTCTTGAGAATGCCCAAAAGGTCACATTTTGTGCTAAAATTTGGTCTAAGCCTGGGCTAAGAGCATCCTTTTTCTGAAGTACTGCTCATTGTTTCACACATCATGACCAAAAATGTCACAATATTACTCTGGCTGTGAGACGGTTTTCTTCACCTCACACAGGTGATCAAGTTGCAGAGTTGTTGCATCGAATTATTGAGCAGTGGAAGATTTCAAGAAGAATGGTTGTCAGTTTAACTGACAACAGAAGCAACATGGTTGCTGTGTTAAGGCTAAGCACACTGAATGACTACCACAACAAATAACTTCAGGTAATAGTGAAAATGAGACTGACAATGATGGAATAGTAGTTGTAGTTTTTGAAGACATGGAAGTCACAGAAGCTGAGGGTCTTGATGATGTGTGTCTCTCTCTCTTAGTCAACACTTGGTCCCAGAGACCATAGAGCCAGCTGCTGAACCAGATAGCATGGAAGAAGCAGATGCGAATGAAGTAATCAACATCAATGACAGTGAAGATGATCATAATAGTGCTTCCATAGTAGTGAAAAGGGCCAGCTGTTTCAGTCAATAAATCTTACAAGGCAACAGAACGTCTAATTGAATTAGCAAGAAAGATGTTGGTTAATTATTGCCCAATGAGATGGAATTTTATATGCTATCAGCACAATTTCTTGAGGTCAAGGAGCACCTTGAGACTGTTTTAGATGAGCTGCAATGGGAAAGTCTAACTGTTGTTTAGCGGAAAGAGCTCAAATTACTTTAAGAACTACACAAGCCTTTTGCTTATCACACGAATGTTGCTAGCTCAGAGAAAACCACAAATGTAGCAATGGTTATACAAAAAGAACTGTCTAGTCATCTGGATGAAGTCAGTTTATCATTTGTGACATAACACAACCTCACGTATTAAAATTTAATCATATATGAAAAAAGCAACAGGAGTCTCATCACCAGTGCAGAAATTGCTAAATCAATTAAATTGGCGATTTTAGTTTTGTTTTAGATCCGTCAAGTGTACATTGTGATGCCATATACATCACGTTCACATCCATCTTACAAAAGACTACTCAGTATTAATCCCATCGTTCATGCCAAAAAGTTTTTTAGAAGCTATTAAGCAAGTGGATTCTGAAGAACCATCAATTGGTGAATGCAGTCTCACAGCAGCAAGTCAGTCACAAGAAAATTTTACTGTATCTCATGAGCCAGGCCCTCCATTGAAACACTTCAAACATTTGAATTGTCAGTAATCTATTAGCACAGCCAGAAGTCATAGTAGAGGAAACAATACAATTGTCAAAAGAAGAGATTGAGAGATATTTCAATAGTAAGCATAGTGAGGATGAAACGGAGATTGACCATCTACAGTTTTGTATACAAGCATCAAAGTCATATCCATTATATTCTGGAACAGCGTGTGATATTCTATGTACACCTCCTTCAACAGCTCCAGTTGAACGTGTAGTTTCGTACTCAGGAGAGGCTACAAAAGGCATAAGAAATCGTCTCAAAGATAATTTAGAACGAGAAACACTTCTAAGTAGGAATAAGGATTAAATTGTTTAGTATCAATGACAAGTGACATTTTGTTGAAGAATAGTGCAGATTGATTTGATTTGTTAGATTTGACTTTAATATTAGTAGGCTTGCGTAACTAGACTATTCTGTACAGCAACCATACTAAAAACTAGAACTAATAGATACCATGCATGTACTAGTACTAGAACTAAAATTACCACAGCTAATGTACCAAAACTTGGACTCAAACTAAAAATTGTTAAAGCTGCAGTACTGAAACTGGAACTAGAACTAAATTTTTAGAGCTGCTGAACTAGAACTGGAACTGGAACTAAAAATTATTAGAGCTAATGTACTTGAATTAGAACTAGAACTAAAATTTCTGACCTACTGTACTAAAACTGGAACTAGAAATTTTTGAAGCTACTGTACTAGAACTGGAATTAGAACTAAATTGTTTAGACTAGAACTAAAACTAGAACTAAAATTACTGTGCTAGAACTTGATCTAAAACTAATACTATTAGCGTTATTATCCTAATACTGGAACTACAACTAAAATAGAAAATTTAAACTAGAACAACACTAGCAGATACACTTATTATTAAAGATATTGCTGAAGAATTTATTAGTGTAAATGTTGAGCTAGACATACTGTGTACTTTCAATTGATTTGTAATGTTTTTAATATTACATATATACTTTTAAAAATTTGATTGTAGTTTAGCAACCCCAATATAAGGTACAAAGATACACCTATGACATGTAATACATTTTAACAAGTATTCACAGCAATGAGTCCTCAGCTCCAGTGTATGACCTTGCCACTGATGGTGACAATCAATTCAAACCTTAAAAGGGACCACACAATGGACGCAAAGGATCAATGTATTCTGAACTTGGTGAGTACGCTCGTCTCACATAGTGGACCATCAAGAGAGAAGACATTCAGACCTCAGTATTGTAGCCATGTTGACTTTGATCAGCACTCACCTTAGACTCATCGCAATTGTATCATACTGCTGATGTGCCTTTCAATCAACAAACAGATAACAATGGAAGAGGACAAGATACTTGCACTGTCAAATTCCAACAGTCAGTGCAGTATACTGCAGGGAAAGGACTAAAAGCTGTTACAATAGTGCTACTGGCACTCATATATGGGAGGTGATTAGTGTCAAAATTATTATTGTTATTGCAGAATAATGTGATAGTCCAAACTCATTATGATGATAAACAAACCACCCACGTAATTGTACCACCCACAGTTAGAGGTGTGTCACTAGGTGTGGTTGTACTGAAAATAGCAGATCTAAGTCGTTGTATAGAGTTGATCAGAAGAACAATCCAGGAATAGTCTCAATACGAAGATGGCCAAACTATGCTTCATCACATTCTTGAATTTATTATGCTCTCTGTTGAGCTGGCATATTGAGAGCTGTTTGCTCACAATATTGCAAATAGTCTATCTCAGTCTTAAAGAGAGACCGTCATTGCTACACTCGTATAAAGGAATTGGAAAGAGGTCATTATAGATCATGCTCATTATCAGTGACAATAGTACATAATGGTGTTGGTCGTCTGAGGTATGACATTCCTGAAAGTTCTCTTGAATTGTTACAAAATACATTTATAGTTCCACAAATATCCCATTTATTTGGTGTCTCTGTTAGTACTATTAGAAGACAAATGTCGGAATTGAAGCTACTTGTAAGGTCATATTATTTGATTGTATCTGATGGTGATTTAGATGCTATTATTATGGGAATACAAGAGCTATATCCTATGTATGGAAACTGCCAATTGCTGGGACATCTACTTTCACAACGATTTCGCATTCAACAGTGTCGTATTTGCGACTCACAAAGGCGTATTGATCCATATGGAACAGCATTACGATAGCTTTATGTTCTTTATTCAGTTCCAAGCCCTTTGTCATTGTATTGTATTAATGGGCACCATAAACTTAATCAGGTTAGGTGAATTATATCAAGCGTGTTCATAATCTTTAAGTAATAATACCTTTTAAATTTTTCATTGAATTTACATTTTTTAACATTTAGTAATACTTATTTTAATATATGTGACCCGATGTGAGAAAACCAGGCTATCTGCGGGATTTTGGTAAAATCAGTTTTTGGTACTTACAGATAGAGAAAAAAATTTCCTTTCCAGCGATATCCCATTTGTGCCAATGCGCAATAAAACTTTGCAGTTAGGGACGCTGTTTGGACGATTGCTCTGGAATACAAGTACAGAGAAAAAGGCATTTTAAGTTATTTTCAATGTTTCCATGTCACGCCCGTTCACGTAGTAAATGTGACCACGCCCACCACGTACACCACACCCAAATCAATTAATAAACGGGTAAAGAAGAAAGAAGCACTTGACAGCATTTTAACTTACTTTTCTTGCTTTTTGGACATCTTAAGAGTGATCTAAAGCCCAGCCATGCATTGAGACATCAAATACAAGTAAGTTATTTCATTACAAAAGTTGTAGAGTTATTGCTATGTGTTCTAGTGCCAATAAAGTCCTTTTTGTGAACTGTAATAACATCATCTGTGTCATTTACATCCAGACATCGCTTCTGCTTGAGTTTACAGGTAATATTTTTATTTAGATTTTATTTAGAACTATAATTAAGGTTCCTACATTTAACATTAAAATAATTTATGGTTTTAGCACTTGCTGATGAATCCTATAAAAGATTATTGTTATTCTCATGTTTCATTATGTTCCTTTCCTTACTGTTGGACGAGGGGCTCCTCCTGTTCCTCCTTGGCCTCCCCCTCTACCTCCTTGGCCTCCTCCCCTCCCTCCTTGGACTCCTCCCCTCCCTCCTTGGCCTCCTCCCCTCCCTCCTCTTCCACGCTTTCCACTTTTACCCCACCCTCCTCTGTGTTGCCTTCGCTTTTTCTAAGCAAAGGAAAAATTCTAGTGATTACTCATTTCAATAATGCTCTTTTGATACTTTAAATTTTTTCCCTTTGTCTCTCTCTGTCCCTGTCCCAGTCTCTTCTCCTGTCCCTGTCTCCTCGCCTGTCTCTGTCTCTTCTCCTGTCTCTGTTTCTTCTCCCATCTCCTCACTACTCCCCATCCTCTCCCTCCTGCCCTCTTCAATGAGTTCTAACTGCCCTAAATTACAATGCATAAAGCCTTTAATTTACACTTAAAATTAAGTTTACTTCGGAGAGCAGGCCTGAACTGTTCCAAGTCTTTAGTTAAGAAATGTAAAATTAAAGTACAAGTAATTCAACTATTGTTTAATTACCTAAGGGCCTTCCTTCTTTCTTCTTGCCTATTTGTTGTAAATAGAACTAATTAAAATTGAATGCAAAATTACTTTTTAGCTTAATAGTCCTTCTCATAGGTACTTTACAAAAAAAATTATCACACAATTACACATGTAAATAAACTTACTTAAGCCGTTTGATTCTATTAAAAACAATGTCATGTATAGTTGTATGTTTCACCTTTTAATCTTACCATTCTCCTTTTGACTATCTCCACCCTCCTCTTTGTCTCTGTCCCCCTTCTCCTCTGTCCTCTCTCCTCTGTCTCCTTTCGTCTCTTTCACCCTTACTTCATCTTTTTCTACTATAAATACAATTATTTTTTGCTATTAATGTACAACACAAACATACATGTACCAACAACTTACCAAGTTCATCTACCAAAAACAAAAGGCATTATAGTTATCACTATAGGGTTACACATTCCCAACTTACCATCAGATGGATGGACCTCAATGAGGACATCCTCTATTGGGGCAGCCATTACTTTTTGATTTTGAACTTACAGTTTCAGGTGTCTTATTTTATATCGTATAGGTCACAGGTGACACTTGGTGTTCTTTGATTGGCTGTGAATGACGCAATAACTTCTATTTCGGTATTCTCCTCCCACACATTTTTATCATCAGTCCTCTCACCTGTACAGATAAACACAAATCACCTGCATGATAACTTCGTGACTAACTTTCTCTCGGGCCTTCTCTTTTGAGTTAGTAAGTTTTAAACAAAAATGAGTGTTTGTGTTTATGTTGACGTCTCACGCACATACTAGTTCCACACCTTTGTTTTAAAAAAGGGGATCCATAGTTTGTATGTCTTAGTGTTACAAACGAGTTCCTCTCCTTTAGGGGATCAATAGTTTGAATATTTGCCATGCAAACTAGTTCCACTCCTGTTTCAGGGGATCAATAGTCTGTTTGTTGTAGACAAACTAGTTCCTCTCCTGTTGAAAGGGGATCAATAGTATGTGCATTACACAAACTCATTTCTGTTATTCATTGACTGATTACATGGACAAGTTCTTCTATTATGACCAAATTGACCACAATTACCACATTTTCTTTGTGTTGCAGGTGGTTCTAGAGATTGCCTTGGAGAATGTGGTACATCAATCTCCATTGCGAGGTCTGGTGGATCATCTACACCTGGAGTTGATTGTCGAGATGATCCTGTTAGTCGAGGTGCATCAGGAAGTGGGCAGGTTACATCTTTACATTCGTATCTGCAAAATGGTCTTATCTTTTCGTAAAGGTACCATTTCCTTTCAGTTGACATACCCTTTGGTGGTAATATATTAGGTAGTTCATCTTCTATTATTTGAGCATCCTCCTTCAGCAAATTGAATTGTGTGACTGGGCCATCTACAGCTTGTCTGGCTGCAACTACACCAGGTGAGGTCGCATTTACAACAAAGTTTTGAAAGCCTTTGATGCCTTTTATTTTCTTGAATAATGTAGCAAAGTAACTACACCAGTCAAGTGTTTCTACAATGAGTTCACCATTGCTACTTCCTACTGGTTGGGCTTTGTTCACAGCAGATGATTGTTCTACAACTTGAATGAAGTCATCCAATGAGTCCACCTCTGCTTTACGGAATTTTTGCTTTAATAGTCCGAAGCACCAGTCTGGAGAAAATTTTGTGTGTCCAACTGGCAGAATAGATATTGAAATGGACACATTGAGTCCTGTCATGACTCTCCATAAGAGGTACTAAAATAAATAAAAATTACATTTAAAATGTTCATTATTGTGCATGTAATATACTTACTTGAATAACTGTATTATTTTTATTTTGCCCTGTGCAGTTGTCAGCATTGAAATGGATACTGACTGAGTTGAGGCCATGATTCTTCAAATAAAAATGTACCATGCTTATGACAGGATTTGCCCCTTTACCAGTGTCGAATGATTCATCGATCAAGAAATTAACCTGCTGGGGGATAGCTTCACAGCACACACCAAATATGCCACATTTCCTGGGAGTAAGAAAATAAATTGGACCTGCTTGTAGTGGACTTGAAGGATAGTGAACCTTTAAAAAAGTAAGTGAGCTAGATAAACTTTCATAATTATCATAAAATGTTACCTGTTGAGCATAATCGAAGCTATAATGTGCTACAATATTTAACATAGCAAGTGGCCTTGTTAGTGGGGGATTGTAATTGTTTGCTGCATCAGTATACAGCCCTTTTAACAATAATTGTGCCTCTTTTAATACATCCTTATAGTACTCCCTTTCCTTTTTAACAAGACTTCTGTGATCTAGTGCCTTTTGCATTGCCTGAAAATTCTAAATAATACTTGTATTATTACAACACTGTCTTACCTCAGTTATCGTTTCATCTGATTGCATGTTAGCACTTCTTATAATCAGTCCACTTATCTCTTTACAAGTGGCACACAAGTCAGACATAGGCTTCATTTTTTCAATATAAGGCAGGTAGCGTCGCCACAACGTGTTAAATGTTGTTTCAGCACATGCTTTGACATAAAGCCCTTCACATGATTCCGCATACTCTAAGTATACCTGCCTTTTAGATGTACTGCATGGTAAGAACTTCTTATTCTCGTAACTTTTCATTCCAGGTATTCTTCCAGGAAGACTGATTCCATGGACTTCAGCGTAATTTCTGATGAAAGCAACAACCCGGAGAATATCATCATAAGTCAAAGCATGGTTT